GTGATTGGTTGAATCCACTGTTAGTTTCTAATTCTAATGTGATGTGTTAGGCCCTCTGTTTAGCTCCTGAAGTCCTAACCAACGGGATAAGTCTCTTGGTTGTATCTACCTTGATAACTTGGAAAATAAAATCAACCAAAACTGAAATAATGGAATAGGAGTATTTCTACAGCACTTGCAGATTGGAAATACAGCATGCATGATGATTCTATTGAATAAAAATGAACTGAAAAGTACAGACATGATTTTAGAGAAGGCCCTGAGGGTTCTCCACTGGTATTCCTCTGACCGAATGATCTTGCATAGATGGACCTAGGACCCAGCTTTCATGTTCCAATGGCCATGAAGAGCTGGATAATGCATGGGGTTCTGGGTTTACCATGAAAACATTGTCTAACATGGAATTTCGTCCATACTTTTGTCCAAATGTATAGATAACAGTATGCCATACAGAGTTAGCAAGTCTATTTGAGATTACTTAACAATCCAGCACAGTTTGAGGTAAGTGTGTTATGATTTAGACATGCAGTTTGTATGATGGTAATTAGTGGGGTATTAGCTTTCATTGCTTGTCAGCTTATAGCTGCCATGAAAATGTATAGAAGAAAACTCACTATATGTTGGCTGATCGACTGTATTTTTAGTAGAGGGTAAAGTTGTGTACGTTTGATTTTTGGCCAAGCCATTGTTTATTGAGACCCCTTTCCAACATGCACTTTCATGCACGAATTTGACCATAATTACATATATAAGGTTAAATGTGAACACCAGCTGGAGTCAGAATCTCAGAAAGATTGACACAGTAATTTAGCACCAGACCCAGGACAGTTCCCAGGAAACTATCTGCAGGGCCCATATATGAACAGAAGCAGACAAGGAAAGACCATGATGTCTTGATCAAGGCCAGCAAAGCAGAATGTTTCTGTAACACTTCTGTTGCAGCAAAACTAAGTTGAGTTTTCATCTTTTAAAAACACATCATGGGAGTGTATTTGGCATACCACCAGCCCTGTTCTACAAGGGTGCAAAGGCATGCTATGCACCCTCGGTTTGAGTTTTTGCACCTTCAGTTGAGCTGTGGGGAAAATGCATTTTGACAGCCTGCCTAACTTCTGCCTAAGACCAGTCCTGTAACATACAGATAACTTTTTAGGTATGTAGAATGGCTCTGGTAGTGTAGTACGAAGCACTTGTACATCTGACAAAACCCGAAATGTTCATGTGATCACAGCAAATGGTGTATTGTGCTGGCCTTGGTATCCTGGATGTTTGCTAATGGGGGAAATTAATCAAACCTAGCAAGCACTTGATTTACTTAGTTTACCTGATGCACAGCCAGAACATCACCAGTAAAGATAAGGCAGTAATAGGCATTCGTGATCTGAATCTGCCAAGATTGGAATGGCAGATTTGTCCACCAAACACACAGTTGGCAATTAGTCAGTTTGTTATGTTTATTTCAGTTGATAAGTGTTACAATTTCATGATGTTAACAAAGTGAGTCAGGTAACTGGCTTGTGCTGTATTTGAATGCTGCTGCTACAGCTATACAAAAATATTTTGATTCATGTTACTTAAATTGGCCACTATTTTCATTTACAAATTTGAAATACCAGTAAAGAGCAATTATATTATTTATATTGCAATTTTGGTGAGAAAGTGTTGGAAATGTGCTTCATGAGCTCATTTAGCCCACAAGGGTGTTTCAGGTTTAAAAAACAAATGGCTAATAAAAAAAAAAATGGCAGTCAACCAATTTGTCTGTACACTCTCAGAAATAAAGGTACTAAACTGTCACTGGGGCAGTACCCTCAAGGGTACATCACAGTACCTTAAGTCAGGGAACATAATTGTACCATAATCCATTGAAATGATATTTTCTAAGTAATACTGACTCCACACACCCCATCTTGTCTGCAGGCTTTTTATTTTATTGTTCTGTTTTAAAACATTAGGTTATAAAAAAGGTACAATTATGTACTTTTCCACTAGGAAAAACTTATTTAAGGTACACATCTGGACCTTAAAACCACCGTTGTACCTTTGAGGGAACATTTATATTGTTTGTACCTTGACGAATGAAAAATGTACCCACAGAGAACCTTTATTTCTAACAGTGTAAAGAAGCCAGAATTGGCCAAACAAAGTCATGCATCGCTAATCAGTAATGTACTGGATTTTGAGTGTGAAAATACTGGATTTTCATTTTCCTGGTCATAACTTGAACTACTAATTTTTAGTGTGTTATACAATGTATTAAATTAACTGTGGCTTCTGTTTTCCAAGAGCACCTGAGAGCCTGGCTTACATCAGATATATTTCTTTTGTCTCCCTTCTTTCTTGCTGCTCATAATTAGGCCTGTGTTTCTGAATCAGTGGTTTACCAGGCGTTACACAAATTCACATTCCAAAGGCAGTGGACAGAAGAGTTCTGTTTTTCCAGTAGGAGCTTCACTAATGGAGCATCTTATATGTGAACTGGCTTTGCAGGAAAGGCCCAAGCACATCCACTTAAACAGAACTTTAAAACAGAGCAAAGAGGCGAGAGGCACATGACTCAAGATTTCTAGATAGACTCTTACCACTGAAATCAGGTTCTAGAATGTAATTGTGTTTTGTTGATGTTGAGATGATTGAGTAGCATGATGACATCATAAATAGACCTCTAGTTTGCACAAGACTCAATCCAGACTGCAAAGGGGTTAAATTTTTAATGTTTTCCAAACAGCTCCACTCTCTGACTCCAGACTATTCCCTTTTGGTACTGCATTTCACTTTCAAATAGCCTGAAGTTGGAAAGTGATTGCGAACCAAGTCACAGCAACGTGGGCTCACTTTGTTACTCGTCAAAATATGCAATTCAAATGACAGGCCCTTTCTTGTTATGAATACCTCACATAACAATGTATTACAGGACACCTCTTCACAATAGTCTTTTCTGTAAATGTAGCCCCAGTTCCAGTCTTCAGTTTAGAATTGTGCTTAGTGGGGACAGCAGAAGGGCGTTTTAGAGGATGTTTTGTTCTCAGTGTTGACTCAGGGGATGTCCATCTAATAACTGACTGAAATGCAAAAGCATGTCAGCTGCAGATGCTTGCGCATTACGATTTGCACATGTTTCTCTTGACCTCACAGAACTGGCTGGCATGAGTGTTTTTACTCATTTTTTCAATGGATAGAACATTTTGACAATCAAGTTGATGACACTGAGAAATATGGTGACATTTAGTTAAAGGAAATGTATGCATTCATTTATTTGTTTGTTTGTGTGTTTAATTAGTGTACACTTTATCTACTTAATTGATTGCATTGATAGACTGGCGAGCCAGTGTTTTACAGCGGTTTCATTTGTATTCTATAGTTTCACATGGCTTTGTTCTAAAGTATTTTACTGTAGGATTTAATGTCGCTGTACAGTTTTGTTCTACAGTGTTTTGCTGTATGATTTTATGGCGTGGTACGGTTTTGTTCTACAGTATTTTACTGTACGATGTGATGGCGCTGTACAGTGTTTTGCTGTATGATGTGATGGCGCTGTACAGTGTTTTGCTGTATGATGTGATGGCGCTGTACGGTTTTGTTCTGCACCGTCATTCTCCTCCAGCTGCGCTGCGCACTGTCCCACTTTCAGCCCCGATGACGTCACAACTCGCCCTTTGCTTTAGCAACCACCGTTACTAAGCATGACAAACGCGCGCGCGCCCAGCTCGCCCCTTTGCACGCACACTGACAGAGAACCACGATCTGCGCACGCGCCTCCGGCAAAACACAACTCAATACAACTTCTACAAAGATTAGAGATATGCAAATAAAGCTTTATCAGATAGGCTTTTCAAATTGTGCTCGTTTGTTTTTTTTTGGCTTATTTAATTTGGGCGTATTATTAATAGCCAATTATTAGGAAACGGTGGACTATCTATCTATCTATCTATCTATCTATCTATCTATATATATATATATATATATATATATATATATATATATATATATATGTATATATACACACATACATATTAATGTATTTTTTATGTATCATGTATTGTATTGTGTATACATCCATTCATATATATATATATATATATATATATATATATATATATATATATATATATATATATATATGCATGCATGTGTTGTTTATTGTATTATATTGTTTGTTTTTTGGTTTTAGACAAGAATCAAGAATCAGTAGCTCTTCTCGGATTAAGCCCCCTGTCCTGTATGTTGGTGTGGTGTATATTCTTCAGCATGGCCCAGTCACTCTGTTCGCACACATGACATTCAATGTGCCTGAGTGCGGCAGGCCGCGCTGCTATTGGCTGAAAGTAGGTCAGCGGCGAGCGGCTTTTAGCTCCTCCGCGCCGGCTCACCGATTCATCGCCGTCTAATCGAAGCGAGCTCCAATTGGGCGGCACGCGTCCAACGCCCGACAGGCAGCCAATAGGATTCCGCAGCGATGACTTGTATCAGCGAGCGGTGCTGTTACCGTGGAGACGAGGAGCAGTGGGGCTTTCCGAGAAATGGATTTTATGTTTACGAGTATTTGAATTGGCATGGATGGACGACATAAAAACACAAACATAAAAATCTCCTGGCATTGAATGACAATACAGTTAATAAATACGTTAGAACGTGAAATTGCTCAGGTTGTCTGCGATTTTTTAACGTCAGAGTTGTTTTTAGCCACGTTACGGTTTCATACGCGTTAACGGAGAGTTGCTACAGAGCTCTGTGTTGTCAGACGAAAAAAATGAGTAAGAAACTGCAGTCAGTTTAGAACTAGCTTAATGTTAGTGAAATGTGATGGACGGCTGGTGTGGTATGATCAGATTTCATTTCCCTCGAAATCGTAAAGCGAACAAAAATAAAAACAGGCGAGAATATGAAACGTAATATTCTGTGTGGCATATTCATGTTCGACACCACGCCCACTTTCTCTCGCTGACTCCGCCCGCCGCCCGTGACGTCAGTGGCAGCAGGCTTCGCACGCTCCATTTTGGCTTGAGCTGCTCCAGCAGCAGCGAGCGAGAGTCAGAGGGACAGGAGCTGCCGTCCCCCGCGCACCGATACGGACTTGTTCTGTGGACTCCTGCGTCGTTCTTACGAGAAAGTTTTCGTTTTCGGTTGCTTTTTTCCTTCTCTCTCTTAATTTGGACATTTTTTTTGTTATCCTTTTTTTTCCACCTGTGGACAGATTTCTCCTTTTGGTCCGGAGCAATGGAGAAAATGTCTCGACCTATAAACTCAACTTTCCTACCTCCAACCCATGGCGTGCTCAAATCCCTGCTGGAAAACCCAATGAAACTGCCCTTCCACCACGATGAAGGTAAACACAGACCCCTTCTTTGCCCACTTTCGTTCCAAACTGCTTGCGGATTATTCTCGGCATTTTTGTTTTGCAGTGAGCCGGTTTCTTCCATTCAGTAAGGACAGAGAGACCTTGTCATCTTTGATGTTGGCGGCAGTTATCTTTCACATTGCATGTCACAGGAGTTCACTGAAATATTTGCTGATATTTTTCTGTGTCAGATTTCACTTAGTCGTCCTCTGGTTCTCACTATGTCTCTGAAAGGCTGATTCTGTCACAGGAGTCGTAAGACATGATTTAATTGCATAGATTTTATGCCCCAGCCTAAACTTAAATGCACGAGTTTATTAGATGCAAAATGTTTGAAATAAGCTGTTGTAAAACTGTCTTAAATTTCTGTTGATAAATAGCAAATAGCAGCTGTCCATGTCGACTTGTTTGTTTGAGCTTAAAGTTCTCTGGCTTTTAGTGGCGATTTTACCTGTTGTTGCCTATAGAGGGCGCAGCTGAGCACAAACGTCTAGGAACCAATTTGGAGGTAGTGGTTATTGCTGCATTAGTTGCTTTATGACTATCTCAGTATGCCTGAAATCCCACTTAATTGCAACATCATGATGTGCATTTTAAATCTATTCCAGCTTTAATGCACCCAAGTTACTTGAGTATGAGTGTCACAGTTCCAGTTGCAGTCACAGTAGAGATCCTTCGGTCTTACTGGGCACAATAAGTGACATCCCTGCTTTGAATCCTGCTTTCAGGTTTTGGCAAAGAGAAGGAGAAAGAGAAGAAGTTGGAGGAAGATGGCGTGGGGGTCAACGCCCCCCAGTCTGCCTTCCTGGGGCCCACCCTGTGGGACAAGACCCTGCCGTATGATGGAGACAATTTCCAGCTGGAATACATGGATCTGGAAGAGTTCCTGTCAGAGAACGGCATTCCCGCCAATCCACAGAGTGAGCAGAGCCAAACTACTGCGCAGCCCCTGCAGCAGAGCCCCCCTCCTCCCCCCACGCCCTCTGTGGTCGACCTCAGTAACCGGGCAACCACCTCCGTACACCCGGGCATGGTCACACAGACCTGCCTACAGAGTCCCAGCAGAGCAGGTAAAAACCACAAGAACGCTTAGACACACATACACAAACACTCGTCACGCAGAGCTGGGTAATATTAAGTGTGATCTACATCTACATTACTTCAGGATGGATTCACAGCACATTCTGCAAAAATACCTGTGGTTTGACAGAACCTTCACAGCGCATTCAGCAGTGATGATGTATCTGAGGAATTTATACATTGCACTCCATGACATAAGCACTTTTCATGCCAAGCATTCCTATTGTTTTAGTTCACTGACATGCAAACCTAAAAATTGTAATTAATCTGCTGATACATATTTATTATGACACTATGACGTTAAAATAAGCCCAGCCCACCTGGTTCATTTTAACCAGCCCAGCATAAGCTGAAAATTCACTGTGCAACTATATAATCAATATTTTACATACACTTTAGACCAGAGGTCACAGTCTTATCTGCAAAAAGCTGCAGGTTTTTATTCCAACCAAGCAGAAGCACACCTCATATAACTAAACAGTTGTTTGAAGACTTAAAAAAGGAATAATCAGGTGTGCTTCTGCTTGATTGCAATGAAAACCTGCAGCCACACCAGCCCTTTTTTGATGCCCCTGATTTAGAGTGATATGTTGTCCAATGATCATGATATGAATTTTCATTTACATCGCCCAACCCAACTCAACATCACAGCCAGCAGTTGCTCATTTCTTAATCCTTTCCATCAGGAGTTGATTATTGTTAGCACAGCTAGGCAAAATCAAACCTTTAAACTGTCCTGTTCGTGCCACTCCATGCTTATCATACACCAACTTTCACATTTCTCACAGGTTAATACTCAACCAAGATCAGTGTGAGCAATGACTCAGCCTTATTTCTAGTGGGATCCAGCCAGTGTTATCATTCTGCATATCAATAAATGGTCTTGCTAGCTTGCTAGAATTCCTTTTTAGCCAAATTAACATTCTCAAACAAAATTTTCTTTCTTTCTCTTTGATAGTTTTTGTCTTTTTGTATTGCCAAGCACAAAGGCTTTATATTCAACACAGTGCTGAATAATGCTATATGAATAATGCCACATAAAAATTCTTAAACAGCATTTAAAATTTGCTGTCTCTCTATATTGCCATCAAATCGAATTGCCCCTCATCCGACACAATGGTAATACATAGAATGTAGAGATTCAAAGCTAGTGTGCACCATATATGTGTGTGTGTGTGTGTGTGTGTGTGTATATATGTGAATAATGGTAATCTTTTCAGTTGTTACTAGCCACATTACCATTCTCAGACGGTCTTCAGAAGTTTCTCTCTATATTGCCATTGAACTGAAATACCCTTCTTCTGACACCTAATGTAGAAATTCAAAGCTAGTGGACATTTATCTAAATAATGCTAAATGGCCTTAGCTAGATTACTAGCCGAATTAGAATATGAAAAGTTCAGTAAGAATTATAAGATGATTGAATGTATATTGGGCCTTGCAGGTGTGCTTAATAAGCCCAGCTGCCCAGCTGCCCTTCTGCCCCCAGGTGTGGGGCTTTTTATTCCGTGCCGGTTTGCCATACATGTGGAATCTCCTGGGTAACAGAAGGGAGATAACGATAAGAAAAGGCGAACAGGCAGCTTGGCCTATTCTGTCTGGCTCGCAAAACACGTCAGCCAGAACTGATAAGGCGGTTAGCGTTTTGATCAGCCAGATAGCGTGTGTGCTGTGTGGTACCTGACTAGAGCTGCACGACATGGGCTAAATACCAGCTTGCAATTACATCACTATGTATTGCAATTGCAATATATTAGAAATGCTTTAGTGAAAGACTGGCATGCAGTTTTCTCAGAGTAATAGATTTAATATTTGTTGGGTATCATGAATCCTTGGATTGATCCAAACCGGCATCTTGTCTATGGACAGTGTTAACGAGTGCACCACGTTCACGAGGCCTGGGAATGGTTTAGAAATTTCAGTTTGTTAGTTTGTTCCTTAATCAGTCTATGTTCCCATCCACATTTAGCCCAACATTTCTCATGGTTGTCCCCACATGTTTTCATTATGAGATAATCTCTGGCCCTCTGAGACTAGTCATGGTGCTGACCACTGTTGGAAAACTCATTTGCATGTTGCAACCTTCTGTTATCACAAAAAAATCTGTACCACGATAAAGACTTCCAAATGAAATACTGTGCCTGGCTACACCATCCTTTCTTCTTTGAGCTACTGTTAGCACATGAGAAGTTAGCAGTGACGTAGACCTGTGGTGGCTTTGGTGGTTAAACAAAGTTCAATAGCTGGGACAAAAGCCACCTGCTTGCCCGTTTTGGTGTTGATGTGAACATGCCAAGCTCTAGCCATGGTTTTCTTTCTCTGACACACACCTGTCCCAGTTCCACGCTCCAAATGAAGAACATTCCAGAAACCCAACCTGAGCGATTGCCTCAGCACACACACACACGTGTACTCTTTCACACATACAGCCACATGTGAGTTTGCACTTACACAGTCACTCTGGCCACAGATTTACACAGCAAAGCATGGTTTATTAATATGTAATAACACTCATGCATCATTCATGTGGGCAAATTGCATTCATTGTGTACGGCAAGGTTGCATTGTGGAAGACAGTGTTGGGTTATTAGCTCTGGCTCAATGGTTACACCTACTTATAGGTGTAGAAAACCGTTATATGAGCATTTTGTCGCTCTCAAAGCAAAACATCTCCAAAATGGTTTTATACATATATATATATATATATATATATATATATATATATATATATATATATATATATATATATATATATATATATATATATATATGAATTCATTGTAAAATTTTCAGATACAGAGATGTAGTTGATAGTTTCAAATCATGCACAAAAAAAAAATCTTGCAAGGTTTTGTTCCGACAGCGATGGCATGCTCCTGTGAAGTACCACGCATCCTGTAGGAAATGATAATTATGATGTTTGATGTTTCTGGCTTGGGTTGATAGAGCTATAAATCTGTGTTTACTTCTCCCTCCTGATCTCCCTGATAAATCTCCCTGATTATTTGTGTTGGGATTATGGTTCGATTGCAGCCACTGAAGAGCTTCATATAAAAATTCAGTGAAATTGGTTTAATATTGTTGTCTGAAAGCGTGTGGCTCGATGATGTACAGTTGAGTCCTGTGGGAAATGATGGTTATGATGTTCTACTTGATTTGATGGCGCTATAAATCTGTGTTTGATTCTCTCCCGTGACTCTCTGATCAGACTGACAGTGTTTCTCCTGTTGTGGTGAATGTTAAACTCTTCATTTTATTTGAGTTTGTGTCTGTGTTTGATGTGGGTGTGTAAGATTGGGGGGTGTGTTTACACTGTCTGCGTGTGTTTGTACAGCGGAGATGTTCACAAGTTGCTTCATGTGAGTCCAGGTCTTGAGTCTCTGCGGTGCAAGTTGAGTCTCGAGTCTTTAGTAGAGAATTTTAGGTTCGTCTCAGTATTGTTCGAAGGCGTTGCATTGTACAAAAGTAAACTGCCTCTAAAAACTTGTTAGGTTCAACATGGCTTTAAATAACAAGCATTTCATTATAAAAGACCCTCAGTTTGAAGGACAAAACTGAAGTGCTAGATGCTGTGTTTACAGAAAAGAACCAAAACCACCAAAAAATGGTCGATTATTTTGTAATTTATATAAGAAATATGCTAGCGAGCTAGCAAAATTGTTAATCCAGCTAAAGTTTTATTCAGTTTTAAAGGCCTGTGATCTGTAATTTCCTAAAACCTAAGCTAAATTAGCTGTTGTGCTAGCTAGCATACTTGCTATCCAAATTACATGCTAGCCAGGTGTTTCAGGCCATGTTGCCTCTTTCCTTTAAAGGTGCAGTGTGTAAGATTTAAGGGGTTCTATTAGCAGAAACGAAATATAGTATATAGAACCATGTTGTCTTTAGTGTATAATGACCTGTAACTAAGAATCGCTGTGTTTTCGTTAGCTTAGAATGAGCCCTTCACATCTACATAGCGAATGGGTCCCCTTCCAAAAGAGACTACCATGTTGCGCGGCCATGTTTCTACAGTAGCCCAGAGCAGACAAACCGAACACGATCTGTAGAGAGTGCCTTTCATGTTTTATGTGGAAGAGGCACCAGTTGGAAGACATAGAAAGAAGAATCAGTGGTTGTTGCCAGTGCTGGCTAATGATTAGCACAAGAAAAAGTAAGGACTCCTCATCATCAAGGAAGCGAAAACATGATGGCTTCTGTAGTTTCTACTACACGCATGGAAAGGGAGAGGTGAAGGAGGGGTATTCAGTTGGTTGCAATCTGCCAACTCACTGCTAGAGGCCAATAAATCTTACACACTGCGCCGTTAAACACCACATCCATCAGACTAAGGAACAGGGCCATCAGTTATTTGAAACCATGTTGAACCTGAAGCCATGGTGAGCTGTGGGAGAACAGCATTTCAGGAATGACTGTAGCAAAACTGACAGGCAAATTCACACACATGAGGCTTGAACCAAAAGGGTTTATTCATTTACAGCTTTATCGTTAGAGATCCAAATTTAGTTTGTTCATTTTTCTCAGGTTGAAATTTGACGAGTCCAAGTCAGTCAACTTGTGACTCGAGTCAGAGACGCTGTCTCGACTCCATCTCTGGTGTACAGTGCTGTGCAAAAGTCTTATGCCACCTGAGAAAATCATATTTGGCTGTTTATCTGGGCAGTAAGCATTTTTGTTCTGTTAAACACTAATATCAGAACACATACAAATAATTATAAATACAATAAAGTGTATTTTTATTGCTGGTGTGTTAGCATAACTATTTCCACTTCCAACTTGCTAGCCAGTGTCCCTCACATCAGTAGCTTTTTTTTTGAAAGCAATACCTTTTTGGTGCTTTTTTTTATTGTATTTTATTGCTTATTTGCATTTATTCAAAATTCACTTACTGCCAAAATCAGTATTTTTAAACAATATTCTTGGCTGCCTCAGGACTTTTTGCACACTAATGTATGTTTTGTGCAGTAGGTGTGTAGTGATAGAACACCGG